CAAAGAGGAAGCCATTTCTAAGCAAGCTCCACAAGCTCAGACGTTTGCACTGGGCCAGGGGTCATTTAAAATGGAGTGTGGCAAAATGGAAGACTGTTCTGTGGTCAGATGAGTCACGATTTGAAGTTCTTTATGGAACACTGGGACGCCATGTCATCCGGACCAGAGAGGACAAGGATAGCCCAAGTTGTTATCAACGCTCCGTTCAGAAGCCTGCATCACTGATGGTATGGGGTTGCATGGGCGCTTGTGGCATGGGCAGCTTGCATGTCTGGAAAGGCACCATTAATGCAGAGAACTATGTTCAGGTTCTAGAACAACATATGCTCCCATCTAGACGTCATCTCTTTCAGGGAAGACCCTGCATTTTTCAACACCATAATGCCAGACCACATTCTGCAGCAATCACAACATCATGGCTACGTAGGAGAAGGATCCGGGTACTGAAATGTCCAGCCTGCAGTCCAGATCTTTCACCTATAGAGAACATTTGGTGCATCATAAAGAGGAAGGTGCCACAAAGAAGGCCCAAGACGATTGAACAGTTAGAGGCCTGTATTAGACATGAATGGGAGAGCATTCCTATTTCTAAACTGGAGAAACTGGTCTCCTCTGTCCCCAGACGTCTGTTGAGTGTTGGAAGAAGAAGGGGGGATGCCACACAGTGGGAAAAATGGACTTGTCCCAACTTTTTGGGGATTTGTTGACGCCATGAAATTTGGAAACAACAGATTTTTCCCTTAAAATGATACATTCTCTCAGTTTAAACTTTTGATCTGTGATTTGTGTTCTATTCTGAATAAAATATTAGATGTTGGCACCTCCACATCATTGCATTCAGTTTTTATTCACAATTTGTTTTGTGTCCCAACTTTTTTTGGAATCTGGTTTGTAGGTCTAGGGGAAAAAAATCGGTATCGTTATCGGCCAACCAAGTTTTAACATATCGGATATCGGCCAAAAATTGTGCCTCCCTAGTTAAAAAAGTACTTTTTGTATAATGGTGGTGTTTTTGTGTTCCAGGAGCACCATCTCCAGCGGGCGATTTCGGCACAGCAGGTGTATGGAGAGAAGCGGGACAGCATGGTTATCCCCGTCCCCGAGGCAGAGTGCAACAGCACGCACTACGAGTCCCTCTACCCCGGGGAGTTCAAAATGCCAAAGCAGCTTATTCACATACAGCGTGAGTAGCAGGCTGCCTGCAGCTCAACTAGTGGCTCTGAGCATGTGAGCGTCTTGCTGTGAGAACAGCTAATTGTTAGTTTGTGTGAGTTTTATGATGTTGGAACAAGTGAAAACTTTGTTTACATTAGTCTCTTTGTTCAGTCAGTGTTTTCACTCAAGTTAGGAGTTCTGCATCAAGAACAATGTTTTTATGTTGAAAGTAAAAACTTGTTTGATTTATTTCTTTAAAAGGAATGTGCACATTAATCATTGTTCCACAAAAATGAGTGCACCAGAATGATCACATTAGCTAAATTCCATGTGTTGTCTTAAGCAGATAAAAAAATTAAACGGTTCATAAAACAAGTACACAAAACAAATGGAACAATCAATCAAAACACACAAACTACAAGTTATACAGTCTAAAACACTTATTTCATAAGAACGTTACTGATTTCCTTTGATCCAACCTTTAGGTTTCTTGTTAAAAATATAACTGACTGATAGTAATTGTAGAATACTGAGCTAATATTGAAGAACTTTCAGAAACCGTTTTTGATTAAAGTCCATGTTTTCCATGTTTGTCTCGCCTGTAACAGCTTTCAGTTTGGATGCAGAGCTGCCAGACTACGACCTAGATTTAGAGGATGACACATTTGTGAATAAGCTGAAGAAGAAAGTGGAGATCACCCTCTTACAGTTTGAAGACATGATCGATCGACTGGAGAAAGGCAGCGGACAGCAGGTACTGTCACTCTGGGGGGGCTTGTTTATGT